TTTTATTCATCAGTTTGTTCGATAATTCAAGTGCATCCAGACGTAATAATGAATGGTATGAGGTCAGACATTTGTGCAATAAGTTAATTTCATTGCTTTCCAATGCACGAATAAAAAATCTTTGAATAGAAATCCATCCGTATAAAAGACGATCATAACGCATCCAAACCATTTCTTCGCATTCTTGATTCCAGAATATCAAATCATACATTTCCTCTTCAGTAAGGTAATAATCTTCATTGGATTGCTCGAATGATCGATTTTCTGCCGAAATCATTTGCATGATAACTTCAGCAGCATCTTTCATTATCAATTTAGACTTGATATTACTGTTTAATTTCGCCAGCCAAAACCGTGAGCAATTTAAGCGACGCATTCTGAAATAACAGTTATACCATTTACATCCTTTTATATAGAACTATAATAAACTTCAAGCAATTTTTTTTTTAATTTTTGTTAGAAAATGTTCTCGTACAAGTTGAAAAAAACAAGACAATGATGACAGTATTCCTTATTATGATAATAGTTCTCGGTCAAAACTGAATAATGCAGCAATCATATTTTTGTAGATGAAATTCTGCAAAAGTTCGTGTTAAATCACACTAATTCAATAATCTTTGACTATTTCAAGAAGAATCATTTCGGAAATAAATCCGTCTGCTTAATATGGATTTCAATTCTTATGCTCCAACTGATAATATTGGAATATATATGATTAGTAGACACTGACAAAAACACCTCAACATTTTGATTTACATAAAATTGCTGAAGCTAACCGATTGGAAGATAATAAGCAGTTTGCCAAAAACTGAGCACAATTTTGACGATCACTGCTATCACTAATGAACCATGCAAGTACACAATCAGATGTCACGGAACCGCTAGAATGAAACGCTTGAGCTCTCCACAGTACTGACATCAATATATTTTCACAATTTATACATACCTGCAAAATTTTGAACCTTCATTGTATGTTACGAAAAAAAGTAATAGGCTGTCCAGTGGAGAGCCTATTACTTTTTTCGTATGCAATCTCAAGGACAATACAAGTAACCTAAATTTATGCTAAATACGATAATGTATCCATCCATCATCTATTGCTATTATATTTGGGTCCATTCATCGATTAAGCTTTTGACGTTTAAACAACTTGATTTTCAAGGATCAGGAGATTCATTTGTTTAAAATTTATTAAAATATATTTCATCCCATTTTGACATTGTCCTATTGTAACCACTACTAAAATGTGTTGAAGAATGTAAGCTAGATTTTGTGGACGCCAAAGATTTAAATGTTATATTATTTGTATGGAATAATATCAGAAATTATCATTTCAAGTTATAGGTCCAATCCAACAGGATTTTC